GGGGGGACGCCCACGCGGCCCACATCCGCAGCGCCCTTGGTTACGCCGCCCAGGTGAAGGGCGTCGCGACGCCACCGCGGCCTCGGTGAAGGGAGTCCCGGGGCGCCGCCACCTGTCAGGCAACGCCCCCCCCCCTCTCCCGCTCTCATCATTTGCATCGTGTCTCGTCAACTTTTACTCGTTTTCTGTTTGCGACCCCTCTCTAAGCCCACCGACCCTCTCGATGGGCAGCATATTTCCTCGTATTCTACTAAAGAGCAAACTCCGACTCGAGACTCTTCCAGACTAGGCGGCCAGACGGCCCAGGCCGCCCAGGCCCGCCCAAGCGTACGTAACGCCTACACACTCGACTGCGCGCCTGAAGCCTAACAAAGGTGACTCAAAAACAGTCCGGGCTAGAGGATGGGATTGTGGGCGGGGCGGGGCGGGGAGGGGAGGGCTTGGCGCCGCGCAATTCCCCACATCATTAAGTTTCAATTATTAGTGTACTTCCGGCCCGGTGTGCAAATCCACTCGTTCCGGGTCTCTACTTCGCTTACTCCGCTTTGAAAGATGTTCACAAGCAGATAAAATATGTTAGGCTTTAATCACAGTACTATGTCAATTACATACAGGTACCTTGGTCATGAAAAGTAATAAAAAATAAAACAAAAATGGCACGATTATAGTACAGTCTCGTACACTTTAGAAATCACATAACTTGGCAAATTAATTAGGACACTACGAATGGTAAACATTATGATAGAGCAGTGACATTTCCTGAGAAAACCGCCTTCCACACACATTACATGCGAAAGGACGCCCTAAAGAACATGCACTTTCACAGCGCCGGGGTGGAGGCGGCGCTTCCTTAAATTTCCTGTTTTTCTTTGGTTTCTCTGGCGATTTAAACAGTTCACCAGGGCTGGTGCTGTCCAGGGACGCTGTTAGACGGTCCAGCAGCTCGTAGACCGGGACGGGCTTCTTTCGATCAACCTCCGGGCCAGGGCTCTGGCCGGCCCCGGCAGCAGGCGGCTGGTCGCCAGGTTGCCGTCGTGGTCGCCCCCGCTTCTTCGGCGGGATAGTAGCCTGGTCGACAGCGGGTTCCCGCCTTGGTCGTCCCCTTTTCTTCGGCAAGGGCGCTCCCGCTCCCTGCTCCTGGATCGGCGTCGTGGACTTCCTGGAGTAAGACCTTCTCGGCGCAGTCTTTCTTGGAGTGGATGAGGGAGACGAGATGGAAGTAGCGCCTGTCGAACTTCGCAACGTCGCCCTCCGCGGGGTCGCCCTCTTCGGCGAGGCCTTCTGACCAGTGGTGTTCTTTGCGGTGGTTGAAGTGCCCTGCGAAGCTTTCTGTGGCGCAGCCTTTCTCGGAGATGCCTTTCGTGGTCTTCCTCGTTTTCTGGGGGGAGCCGCGCCTGCTGCTTGGCCCGCCTGCACCCCTGTCTTTTGCGGCGAGGCCTTCCTCTTCGGCGGAGTGCCCTTACGAGCAGAAGTCTTTCGCGGAATAGACTTACGCGGAGTAGACTTTCGAGGAGTAGACTTTCGAGGAGTATACCTGCGCGGAGTAGACTTTCGAGGAGTAGACCGGCGCGGAGTAGACTTTCGAGGAGTAGACTCTCGCGGAGCAGTCTTTCGCGGAGTAGTCTTTGTCGGGGTAGACTTTCTCGTAGTAGGCGTCCGCAGCGATGCCAGTCGCGACGGGGCAGACCAGCGCTTGACACTGGGAGTCTCGCCGAGCCCCGAGTCCACGGAGAGGTCGGCGACGTCCTTGAGGCTAGAACGTCCTCGCCTCTTCACGGGCGGCTTCTCTGCGCCTGTGGTGGTGGTGGAGGTCCTGGAGGTTCGTCCCGCCCCCGCCTTTCTCCGAACCTCTGGACGTGGTCTTGCAGACACCTCACGCTGGGGCCTAGCGGGCGAAGCCCCGCGACGTGCACGCTTAGGGCGCGGAGAACCCCTCTGCGACGACCGCGCTGCAGCAGCCCTCTTCGGAGCCCGTCCTCGAGCTGGCTCATCTTGATCACCAGAGAGTTGCTGTTTCCTCCGCCCTCGTCGAGCTTGAGGTTGCGATCCATCATCGTCCAGAGGAACGTAGTCAGGGGGTGCCGACGGACACCTGTTCCGGGCAATAACTTGATCTGCCTCCTGCAGAAAAGAAGATAATGAACATATAATTTTCACTTAACATAAAAGGTGCAGGCTTATTGTGTACATCTGTCAGAATAAAACAATTTTAAATAGACTAGAAAATATTTGGTTTCCTCAATTTTGCAATGAATTGTTAGAAGCATAAATAATAATAACTTAAAAACAATCTTATTGCTTCTGTTTGGTCAAAACTAAAATGCAACGTGTAATTTTGTTAACGTGCATCTGTAAATGACACCCTAAAATTGTGCAGCATAATACAGCTAAGGCCCTAAGGTATGTAAAATTAATCAAAACAAATAAATTGAAATTCAGTTGTCCGACATGTGAGAATGATAATAATAACTCATGCCTGCAAGTTGCATCGTAAATTCTGTAAATGAAACTTGGGCCTGGTGATTTTGAAAATGATGTTATGTACCTTTTGGTCTTGATGTTTGTGGTTGAGCTTATCGTGGATACACAGTTCAGACGCCGTGCCAAACCGATCACCACATCTCATGCAACGGAAGGGGTTTGCGTTAAGGTGCGTCCGCATATGTAATTGGGCCTCCAGATGGTTGAAAAACCCTAGAGGGCAAATGAGGCACGGGTACGTCGCCATCTGGAACAAAATAACAAGAGAGCAAGAATAATAAGACCCGAAAGCTCCTATTTGAGTCCCGAAAGTGCACGGCATTGTGAGTACCTAACCGCTAAAACGTCCATTCTCTTTGCACTCGCCGACATCAAAGGCACCCACTTTTTAAAATGCGTACACGATCAAAATTTTGATTGCCACACGACGTTACATACCTGTATCAATTCCTTCAATTTTATTCTCAAAAATGTAAAACGCAAACGCGTAGCGTCTCAAGGATCTCCAAACAACAACCAAGTGACAACGACAGCGACGAAACCTGCCCGGCGCCCGCACATGACAGCCGAGCCGAACCTGCTGAACTCAAACAAACACAAGTCGTCTGCTGAGCGTCAGAAAACACCAGCCAGCGCTCTCTGCTGGCCTATGTGACGTGAGTGAGCGCGCCATGCACCGCTTATGGCGTCATCAATAATTGTGTGTGTGCAATGTTATTGTCCTGTTCGTTGTCAGGAAAAGTGAAATTCATTATGAACCGTTGCACATTATGTGATCATTTATTAAACTTTGGTTGTGCGGGAGTGCTATGAAAGTTGAAGTGAGATCGTTATGCTGTGGCTGAACCCTGTGTTATCGCTGCCTCTTGCTTCATCCTGACCGGTGAGTCTGACTGCTTGCTTAGCGACATTTTAACATGCTGCTAATATTCAACATTTCTACATATTGCTAGTTTACTAATTTGTCCGTAATGAGATGTGTGCTTGTCACGTGCGTGAGATCAGAGGTTATGGCCCAGGGTATAGTCCGGCCAGCCAAAGGTGACGCCCCATAAGAGCCCATGCTACGCCATAGGCGTCACCTGGCTGGCCGGACTATATCGCTGCTCACTCCGAGCAGATCGTTGTGTCTCTTTCTATCTCTCTCGCCTTCTCAAGGGAAACGAGAGACAGCGATGTACACCTGCGATCTCTTAAAATGCTCGGAGATGACGGAG